GAGGGTGCGGGGGGGGCCTGGGGCTGGCGGGGGGGGGGGGGGGCAGAGATGGACAGGACACACACATTCAGATGTACACACGCACACACACACACGACACAGAAAGAGGGACTGAGATATACGTTACCAGTTAACACTAACAGGGAGTTTTAGGATGTAAACAGCCGGCGGCCATATTGGAAGTCCTCAGTATGGCTATTAAACTACTTATCTGGACAATATTAATATGTAAATCCATCTCCAATGCTGAATTGACTTGCTGATATAGTTAACTAGACGACAATATTTGAAGTTAAACTGAGGATAAGATCCAACTTCAACGTGTTTGTGGTCTTGATTCTATTTAAAGATAAGCAAACAGCTGGAGGTAGAGAGGTTAAGCCCCGCCCCCTTCTGATGGACCAACATGGGATCTTGATTCAGATAAAAATATGTTCGGTAGTCAACGGTCAGAGACAAATTTCAGAGGGTTCTACCTAGAACCGAACGTAAAGGGTTACACATAGAACAATCTGTGAAAGGTTACGCCCAGAATCCCCTAGCAGAGGTTTTACAGACAACCCTTCAATGGTGTAATGGTTCCAACCAGAACCCTTTTTGGAGGTTCTATCCGGACCCTTTTCACCCTCTTAGGGTGCTAACAAGAACCCACCCAGGTGGCTCTAACAAGAACTCTTCTGTTTTCCAAAGGTTTCATCTAGAACTCACCCAGGGGGTTCTACAGAGAACCCTTTTATTGTCCAAGGGTTTCATCTAGAACCCTAAAGGGCAGGGGCTAATGTGGTGCAGCGCAACCCACAACAATCCTGGTTCACAATCATAGTTTTTGAGGGTGTGTGGGCGTTCCCTTTAAGCAGCCATGCTTTCAAGAAACCTTGAAGAACTATTTCTTCCAAAAAGGGTTCTCAATGGAACCCTTAGTCAAACAAAGAATCCTTGAAGTTGCAAATGGTTCTGTGTAGAACCTCAGCCCTTCATTGAAGAACGTATGTGTACGGAAGTGTTCACACGTGTTTGTCGGTGAGAACGTTTAGAGTCTGCGTGTAGAGTCTTTCATACATTTTTTTGGGCCTCATGGTAATTCACTTGGACCCAACGGAACCTCGTGGATGGCGACAGGTGGGTTTCTGAGATTTGTGACATGACTGGAGGCCTTTAAATAAACACTTTACACCGACAGGATGGGAATCTAACACGGGAACACAACTTTGGCTGCTGCTTTGTTAAGCTACTCTGGAGACTACTTCAAAGTCTTTTGCAGATTCAATCTTTAAAAATACAGTCGGTAGGTGTTATTGCCGTTTGAAGACAGACAAGAGACTCACACACACACATACACACACACACACACAGTGGTTCAAAGCAGGAAGAGCTGTGTGAGATGAGGCGAGTGAAGTGACGGACAGAATGTCATCAACATATTTAACACATCAAAAGCTGCTTCCAAGTTTCCTTTTACCTGTTGAGGAAAATGTTACGAGGTTGGCAGACAACAGACAGAGACCAGGTGTTTGACACAAAGCCAGAAAGACAGAAACAAGATCAACACACACGGGAATAATTAATGTCTTGAGGATCAATCGGGACCGACTGGTCTTTGTCAAGCAGAGCAAAGGATCCGTAACAAAGAGGACGGATAAAACTAAATAGATTTGTTTTTCAACATAAATGTATTTGAAAATATACGTGTCGAGACAATCAATCCTGTCTCATCTAAACCACTGATTTGGAAGTGAAACAAACATGAATGCACCATTAACCACTACAGTATATAAACTGCTATATCTTCATGCATACGTACAAAGATTTCCAAAGATGTAAGTTTGGGTAACAATTTACTTTTTTTCTGTGTTGTTTCCACTTCCAAATATGTAGTTTTGAAAACTTCAATGTCTTGGTCATGATAGCTCGTATTGCTTGAAGACCTCGCTAAAGACGTGTCCAACAACTGGGACACCTGGTGCTACATCCCCACATTTTGACAATGAAGCTACTTTTCATATAATCATAAGATTCAAGACTCAAATTGTAGAAATTTGGATTTTCCTTAAAGGTGCCATGTTTAAGATCTTTCCAGTTTAAAAACATCCCAAAAAATTAGCTATCAACAGGAGAGGTTACAGTGTTGACGTTACATCTATGAATTGTTGCAGAGATATCTACTTAAATTAGCATGCTAACCAGCTAGCCCCGGTGCGTCCTCTGTTAATACCACTTTAACCTCGAGAGGTGATAGTGAGTCATTGTAGCGTCTAGTCTGTCCTCAGTCCAACATGAGAGGACGAAGACGGAGAGCTGCCCCGAGGGCTTGTATATCACGTTGAAGGTACAGAGTCCGTGTACGTTTTAATTGTTTGTTTATTGGATTAAATCCAAAGTGGCATAAGAAGAAAACAACACATGCTTTTTTTTAAGACTACGGGCCGCGGTTCCAGGAGAAAGACCTTCAGTTAGCGGTTAGCTGTAGCAACTAACATTTTGCCAGCTGGTACAAACCCTTAGCGCTGGGGGTCTAATCATTGGGGGCACCGCCCCAACTCCCCGGATCAGCAAAATTTCTGTTGCTGCCGTCACACAGGTTTGACACTTCACCAGCCCGTTGTGATCATTACAACGTCAGTCCACAAATGAGTTACAGGCCGACGCCACTCGTTAAGATTAAACAGTGTGTTATTGTAACGGGCTCTCAAGACTTTCAGCAGTTTGGAGGAATTACGCGTATTCTGGCCCTGCTGTTAGTAGTTAGCTTTCTTTCTAATAACTGATGACTGTATATTTATATTGTAGAAGAGGTGAAATGCTGCCCCCTAGAGGGTTTGGAACAGGTGGCTGCATCATAAACATTGCACCTTTAAAGGACAAAGATTAATGCTTATTTGATGGAAAATATCACACGGAAGGTGATGGTAGTTCATACGGTAGGAAGGTACACACACACACACACACACACACACACACACACACACACACA